TGTCAAGAGGCAAGAACTTTAATTTAAAATATTGTGGAATATAATATGTGTATTTCAATACATTGTCTTATACGAAATTTTGATTTTAGAGAACTGTGCAGCAATTAAAAAAATTATGGACTAATTTAAAGCAAGCTCAAAGAGATGCCTTAACTAAGGAAAGGCAATCACGTCTAGCAACTGGTGGAGGACCGCAGGAAATAGAAGCAAATATTGATCCTGATATTCTTAATATTGCACCGCATCTGATGACAAATGCACCAGTATTATTCTCATCAAACATGACTGAAACAGAAATGAAAGGTAAGTCTAAAATTATCTATTGAATCTTTATTGTGATTTTTTTAATTTTTACACAATTCTCTGTAACCAAAATTTTCTATTAGATAATGTATTGCAGTATATGTATTATATTTTATTTTATTGTAATATTCTATTTTAAATTATAGTTTTTACCTATTAACAGATTAATGCTAATTATATTCTTCACATATTTCACTCTATGCAATAACTTTGTCTTTTTATGTTGTAATGGATTACTACAATTTTATATTTTTCAAGTATTTATAAAAATAACTTTTTCTCCAACAATACTTTTCTCTCATGTAGTTTTTATCTATTAATATTAACTTTCATCACGATTATATCTGTTAATTTATATCTCTATTGAATCTTCATCAATATCAATGTGTTTTCCTTTTATTTTATTAACTTTTACTTGTATTTCAGATAAACACGAGTTAACAGTAAACTTATTATCTATGAATGAAAATTTAGATGTTTTACATAGTACAGACGAAAATTTACAGACAAGTGATGACGATAATCAAAATAAAGAAATAATCGAAATAAATAATAAATAATAATGCAAATAATGTAACAGACAGTACAAACACAACTGTTGTAATATTTAGAGGGCGAAGTGAAAAAACATGGATACGTCAATATATTGCCACAAGATATATATTTCCTTATACGCGTTACAACAGTCGAAACGAACGACTCGAACGAAGAATGAATAATGGCGGTAACAGTAAGTTTTAGCAGTGAGTATAAAGAATTACATAGAGAGAAAATCAAGTCAAAAGGACACACACATGTAGTGCCAACTGAAGAGAAAAAAGAAAATGAACAGGTTGGCATAGCAGAGAATTTAAAAGTTTCA